TGTGTGTGTGTGTGTGTATAAAAAAATAAGACAAAATAAATTCAAATAATTTTAGTTTAATGAAATAATATTGAATGACTAATATTTATTTTAAATTATATATTGGTTTTAATATTACATTTATTTTATCGTTTGTTAGTGCAAACTAAGTTTGTTAGTGAAGCTTTCTATTATTTCTGGAGATCTATTAAAATCACATATATTTGTACGTAAATATTGAAAATATATTATAAAATATATATTGTAACGTTAATATCTATCTATATTCTTTAATAGAGAAAATAGCAATGCTTACCCAGACAGCACAAGGATGTCCTTAGGGCGTCCAAAGGGCATCCAGGACATACATGTAGGATATCCTGAGGATATCCTATTTTAATCCTCGGATCTCCTCTGGATGTCCTGAGGAAGAGTAAATGATAGCCGTACACTAGCCTCTGGAGAATCCAGGGAGATCCTGTGAAACATCTGTGGAACATCTTAAGGATTTCTATAGGATATGTTAGGGATATTTTTCATACGTTAAAAGGAACAAATTCTAAAATTTAAATATAAATTAAGATTGCGTTCTGTTATTTACTGCCAATACTAAAAATCTAATACTAAAAATAGTTCACGTTCTTTAAAATTTGACGTTTTCGTGCTGTACATGAATATTTTAGGTTTGGCTTCCGGATTTGAGTCGTGTAATATTTTAAAAACAATCCAATATCTGAATTCCCTATGTTAAGATTGCATCAGAAATTGAACTGATAAAAAATAATTATATTTTTAATTTCCTGTTAGTTGCTCTTTGCAAGCTTTATATAATTCTCATGACCAAATCTCAAATACGAGTTCGCGCGTCGCATAGCGGTAAACAAACGAACTAGCGGTTGAATACTATTTTTTGTAAAGTTTTTGGAATGTTGCGCATAGTAACATTTCTCATGAAATATTAAATAAATAATAATTTTGAATATGTGAAAATGTGCGCATCAAATTCAATTATTAATATTAAACGAAATTAATGTTAACAATTAATTGCACATGTATATATCCTCTGGAAATCCAAATGGACTCAATGTAAACTCATTGAACAATCCGAACGCTGAATTCCGAAAGTACGGTAAAATGATTTTTGATCTTGGCTATATCCGGGGTTTTGAGATGCTTGCGGTGTTTTTTCTCCCATATATAACTCGTTTGGCCCATTTAAAAGTATTCGGCAAAGATCCCAGTACTTTCTTACGCAAAGCCTTCTGGGAGACGATGACTCAACGCATGGAGTCTGGCATAAAGAGGAACGATCTCATAGATATTCTTATCGAACTAAAGAAAAATTACGGTCAGCAGGATATGGGAGGATTCAGTAAGCAAAATATATTATACATGAAACGATGATGACTCTTTACGAAAAGAGTGCGCACGAAATATTTTTAATTGTATTTAATAAAAAAAAACTAATTTAATAAGAAAAGAAAGAGAGAAAGATATAATATAATAAAGCAAAAAAAGAGCCAATCTGTAGTTCTTCTTTAGATCAAAATCTTAAAATACCTATATGTATATATTATAAAAGCAGGTACAGTAAAAATTAATTAATAACATTATATAATTAATAACATTATTTTTCGAAAAAATGTTTTTAAGAAATAAAATTTGAACGCTTTTCTATATGCGTCGTCCGCATCTACGTTATCCATTTGTTAATTAATGACAGATCTCCTTCATAATTTTTTGCAATACAAAATAGTGATAAAGATAAAAGTATTCAGCAAATATCTAATCATAAATCGCACTGGTCTAAAACAAACACTAACAGATTTATTGCAGCGTACATACACAAACTTCACTATCAA